CAAAGTCAGAATATCAAGTCCAAACTCTTCTTCCAAACTCTTTGTAATAGTGACATGTCCCATAAATATGCTGAGACACAACCAAATAATGTTATAGATTTCAATGGGATTCATGGAAGGGCCAAGTTTATTCTGCAGTTTAAATGAATGGGGCATGGAAGTGTTTAGCTGGTTCTTCAGCAGGGCCAAAACCTGGGGGAAGGAATCTTCAGTCCCTGTAGCAAACAGCAGGCACAACAAGATTTTGTATGGAATGCAGAGCCAGTTCCTCTCATAAGCAACCAAGGGGAGCCCCTGAGGTGCTGGATGCACCACTAGAACTGGCGGCATGGTGTGAGTACCAAGTAGAAGTCAGGAGAAGGACGTGTTTCTTTTGGAGTCCCCACTGGTGAGAAAAGGGACTATAAATGAAGTGAAGGCCCCACAGACCTACACAGCAGCCAGTTTGGGCTGAGGCAAGCCCACTGAGGTGCTGGCACAATTCTACTGGAGTTTTGCTCCCTCCCTGCATGTATAGCTAAGAAAAAAACTTTGTCTCACCTTCCCACACATTTTTTGATTGCCAGCACGCCAACATCTTCATAGGTACGTGCATGGGATGGGGGGCAGATTCGATTAGCCCTCCCCCAAAGGATCATCTTTTCTTTAGTTAACTCCACTCAGATGCTACAGTGGCTGTCTCATGTCAACGTCTGTGTCCATTTTAGCCACCCAACTGCGGGTGGTTTTTGGGGAACACTTGCATCATCTTGTGATCTAAGCATGATGCAGTTGTCTTTTTCCAGTCCTTGATATGATGTTTTGGGGAAGAGTGCAGTCCAAGTGAAGTATCTGTTGGTCCCACTGTGTAAATTAGTGCAATAATAGCAGCCTGAAGAGTTTGGACTTGATACACCGCCTGTCACTCCCTATAAGGAGTCTCAAAGCGTCTCACAATCTCTTTTCCCTTCGTCCCCCACAACAGACACCTTGTTGTGACCTCCTGGTGGGAAAAGCACCACGGGGGCCAAATTTGGATTGGTACCACAGTGAAATGGGAGAATGGGCTTCAGCCTTCGCCCTGGCCCTTTTTAAAAAACAATAATTATAATAATAATAATAATTTTATTATTTATTAGATTTTTAAGCTGCTCTCCTCACCAAAGTGGGCTCAGAGCAGTGTGCAACATCAGAAATTCAATGAAACAGATAGATTAAAAGACAATTCGACTCCAATAACTGAGGCACCCTGATTACCAGCTACTAGCCCAGCAAGGGTAAGAATAAAAGGGGAAGACGGAAAGGCCCAACAGGAAGAGGGAAAGAGTGAGAAGAAAATAAAAAGGGGAGGGGAAGGGAAAGGAAAGGTAAAAATAAAACCATTGCTGCCCTCAACCTTAGGACTGGTGAAACAACTTGGTCTTACAAGCTCTACAGAACTGAGATCTTCTTCTTCTTCTTTGGCGATCCCTCATAGCCGATGTCAGGGAATTGGAGGCTGCTAAAGAGCTGAGGGGGGAGAGAGACAAGTACAGAGAGCCCAAGCAGGCAATCAGCAGTTTCTCTTCCACGTCAGAGGAGGAGGCTGGGCGGGGGGAGCCAAGGCCAGGACCCAGCCACTCACAGAGCAGAGGAAAAAGGAGGCGTGAACTCAGAAAATGGGTCTGCTGGGGACGTCGTAAAAAGTCGCCAGACGACTCATCTAACTCGTAGAAGATGGATGTATGTTTTTGAACTCTTGTAACTGTTTTAAAGCTGAGCAATAAATCTTGTACAGAGATGGCTGCGTGCCCGGAGGTTTATCTTTGCTAGCTTATCAGCACACAGTCCCTTACAGCCGAGTAAGATTGTCTTCCATAAACACGGTTTTAACACTGAGTCCGCAAGTGACTGTGGAGGCCAATTCTGGACCTATATGTCCTTCCACAGTGGGGACATTGGTTCCCGGGCGGGAGTTGATCACGATGAGGATTTGACAAGTGTGCCTTCCTCTTAGCACGTTTCTCCCTTTTGTCCTGAGTTCGAGTGTCTTCAAAGTCCATGACACGTTTGGGAAAGGCTGTTCTCCAACTGGAGCGCTCGCAGGCCAGTGTTTCCCAGTTGTCAGTGTTTATACTACATTTTAAAAGATTTGCCTTGAGACAGTTTTAAACCTCTTTTGTTGACCACCAGCATTACGCTTTCCACTTTTAAGTTCGGAATAGAGTAGTTGCTATGGAAGACGATCATCAGGCATCTGCACAACATGACCAGTCCAACAAAGTTGATTCTGAAAAATCATTGCTTCAACACTGGTGATCTTTGCTTCATCCAGTACACTGATATTAATTCACCTGTCTTCCCAAGTGATGTGTAAGATTTTTCGGATACACCGTTGATGGAATCTTTCGAGGAGTTGGAGATGGCATTTGTAAGTGGTCCATGTTTCACAAGCATACAGTAAGGTTAGTAGTACAATAGCTTTGTAAACAAGCATTTTGGTTTCCTTGTGAATGTCCCGGTCCTCAAACACTCTGCACTTCAATCGGGAGAAAGCCGCACTCGCAGAGCTCAGGCGATGCTGGATTTCAGCATCAATGTTGACCCTTGTGGAAAGATAACTGCCTAGGTAGGAGAAGTGATTGACATTTTCCAATGTTACACCACTGAGTTGGATTTGTGGCACTGCAAAGGGGTTATTTTGTACTTGTTGGTGCAGCACTTCGGTTTTTTGGATGTTGAGGGACAGGCCAAGCTTTTCGTAAGCTTCTGTGAAGATATTTAGGATGGTTTGGAGGTCATCCTCTGAGCGTGCACACACTACATTGTCATCAGCATACTGAAGCTCTATGACGGAAGTTACGGTAACCTTATTCTTTGCTTTCAGCCTGCTCAGATTGAAGAGCTTTCTTTCCATCTGTTTGATATATGATTTCTACCCCAGTGGTGAGTTTACCTTCAACAAAGTGTAGGATCATGGTAATGAAAATAATGAATAGAGTTGGGGCAATAACACAACCCTGTTTAACACCTGATCCCACTGTGAATGGTTCACTTTGAGAGCCATTGTTACCTGCGATTGTTGCTGTCATATTATCATGGAGGAGCCGAAAGATGTTTACAGATTCATCTGGGCAGCCAATTTTCAGAAGGACAGTCCACAGGGCATTACGATTTACAGTGTCGAAAGCCTTAGTCAGGTCGATAAACGCCATATACAGGGGTTGGTTTTGCTCTCTGCATTTTTTCTGAAGTTGCTGAGCAGTGAAAATCTTGTCCACTGTCCCCCTAGAAGGCCGAAAACCATTTTGGGATTCAGGAAGGGTCTGTCAGCATCGCCCTTGAGCCAGTGCCACCAACTGGACTCATCCACTTCAGCCCCGACTGGGCTAGGCGAGCTGGGTAGCACTTCCAGAGACCACCTTCTGCACAGGAACAGGTCAAAGTGCTGTGGACTCACAGCTTAGAGTTGTGAGCACCGGATTCACTTCCACAAGAAGACAGTCGTCGCACAGCAGAGTACAGCAGAGTCTAGCAGAGTATATAAACAACTCGGAGAGCTGCTCTGTAGAATATCTTCTTTAGTCTATCTACAACTATTATACAACTATATACAGAGCTAAATAGGTCTAAGCATAAATGAATGCTGCACTGCACTGAGTGTCTGCAGCTGCTCTTAGCAGCAACCTTATCTCTACACACGATCTCTAACACTCAGTCTCTCTCCGACACTGACTGACTGACTGACTCTGGTGCTGGAGCAGAATAAGTAGAGAGCAGAACACGCCTCCTCTTCTCTGGAGAATCAGCAGACTCCTCAGGAGATTCTTGGATATGGGAGGGGTGAAATCTCCTCATGGTCACCTCGGATATTGTTAAGAGACGGTTTGCTAAGATCCTTGCAAGAATTTTGCCGGCCACAGCTAATAGAGAGATGCCTCGATAGTTTCCGCAATCAGTTCTGTCACCTTTTTTAAAGAGATTGATAATTTTGGCATCCCTGAAGTCTGCTGGGATTGCTTCTCTCTCCCAGATTTTTTCGATGAGCTTGTGAAGTTGTTGTGTAAGTTCAGTTCCACCCACTTTGAAGATTTCAGCAGGTATCCCATCAGGTCCATGGGCTTTGTTGTTTTTCACTTGGTTAATAGCTGTACACAGCTCTCCCAGATTTGGAGATACCACAAGCTCATCTCTAACTTGTTTTTGCGGGATTTGTGAGAGGACCTCAGCAGCTATGGGGGAGTTGCGGTTAAGGATGTTGGTAGTGTCCTTTCCAGCACAGTGCATTAGCTTCTTTATCTTTTTGAAGTGTGGTACCATCTGCTGAGCGTAGGGGGCATATGCCATGATTTATTGGTCCATAGACGGTCTTTGTGGCTTTAAAGAAACTCTGTGCATCATGAGTGTCGGCTAAGTGCTGGATCTCTTGAGGTGTTTTTTTATCCACCAGGTGTTTTTAGTTCTCTGGTTCTTAGCATTGGCATAGGTTTTTTTTCCCCTTAGTGGCACAGTTTCTATCTCTTAGCCAGATCTGAAATGCCTTCCTTTTCTTGTCAATCATGCGTCCAATCTCACTGCCATTCTCATCAAACCAGTCCTGGTGTTTCTTGGTTTGGTATCCAATAGTTTGTTCACTATTGAACAATGAGTGCTCACTGGAAGGACAGATCCTGAAGCTGAGACTCCAATACTTTGGCCACCTCATGAGAAAAGATGACTCCTGGAAAAGACCCTGATGTTGGGAAAGATGGAGGGCACAAGGAGAAGGGGACGACAGAGGACGAGATGGCTGGATAGTGTTCTCAAAGCTACCAGCATGAGTTTGACCAAACTGCGGGAGGCAGTGGAAGACAGGAGTGTCTGGCGTGCTCTGGTCCATGGGGTCACGAAGAGTCGGACACGACTAAACAACTAAACAACAACAAAAAGTTTGTTCACAGGCTGCAATAATGGATGTTTATAGCTTGGTCCAGTGTTCCTTGATGTTATCAGGGAAGTCTGAAAGCAGATGGTCCTTAAGAGTCGTTTGGAAGCAATCCCGCTTAATGGGATCTTGAAGGACTTGAGTGTTCATTTTGCACCTTGGTTTCCTTCCCTGAAGCCTGCGTTGAGGTATAATCTTGATAGCCATCGTGGAACATATTAGTCGGTGATCTGTCCAGCAGTCGTCGACGCTCATCATAGCTCTGGTAAGGAGCACATCACGTTGATCTTTAGCACAGACAATAACATAGTCTAAGAGATGCCATTGGTTTGACCGAGGATGCCTCCATTAAGTTTTAAATTTATTTTTCTGTCAAAAGAGTGTTTTGGTAATAACAAGGTTGTGTGCTGCACATATCGTCAAAAGTAAGATTTCGTTCTGGTTGCTGTTGCCAGCTCCTTCTTTCCCAATAGTCCCAGGCCACAGATCGAAATCTTGCCCAACTCTTGCATTAAAATCACTCAGGAGGATAATTTTATCTTCCTTAGGCGTCTGTGATAGGATGGTATCCAGCTGAGAGTAAGAATTTTCTTTAACGTCTTTTTTTAAAAAAAATAATATTTATTACTTTTCCAAAAAAAATTAAACACTAAAAGAAAAAAGAAAAAAAGAAAAAACCCACAATGCAATACAATACCTTAAACTAACAAAGACACAACAAAAACAATAAAATAAATCAAACAATTTCATTAACCCATCTTTCATTCACTTATTTCCACGACCTCCTCACACCTCCCTTTTTGTATCCCACTTCTGTTAATTATTTCAGCAATTCCTTTCCATCTTCCTCTATTTTCTATCCTATAATTATCTTAACTCATTCTAACCTTATTTTTCCCTTTAATACTCTATTAATCTATTTGTACTTAATTCCTTATAACATTTCTACTAAAGCCATGTAAATTCGTTCCAACATTTTTCTAACATTCATTGATTTTACAATATTTCTGTAAATAATCTTTAAATTTTTTCCAATCTTCTTCCACCGACTCTTCTCCCTGGTCCCGGATTCTGCCAGTCATTTCCGCCAATTCCATATAGTCCATCAACTTCATCTGCCATTCTTAGAATTTTCTTTAACGTCTTCATCGGCATCCAGTGTTGGTGCATAAGTGCTTATAATAGTAGCCTGTTGGTTTTTTGTGAGCTTTATTCGAAGGGTTGAGAGTCGCTCATTAATGCCAGTAGGGACTTCTGACAGGAGCTACACAAGGTCATTTTTCATAGCGAAGCCTACCCCATGTATTTCATGTTCTTGTTCAGATAGACTTTTCCAGAAGAATGTGTAGCCTCCTTTTTCTTCCTTCAGTTGTTCCTCGCCCGCTCTTCGAGAGTCTTGAAGCGCTGCAATATCGATGTTAAAACGTCGCAGCTCTCTTGCAATGATGGCAGTTCTGCGTTTAGGACGTTCGCTGTATGTGTTATCTGACAAAGTCCATATATTCCATGTTCCAAAGTTCAATTGTCTTTTACGACCCCTGGGTGATGACCCCACTGGGTGCGGTAATCCAGTCAGGGGAAAAGGGAGGAGGACTATGTTTAGGGCACCGTTTCCAGCCCCTCCCCCTTTTCGGGGTGAGCAGAGTGGATCCTAAAAAGGGCTGCTCAGTCATGGATACAGCTGCCGAGCTGCTCAACTGCCTCGTTCCTTGAGTCAGAATGACTGAATCTGTATCCACCGCCCATGTGCTGGTTCATGACTAGGGGCTTCCAGATTTCACATTCCTGCCCCCGTCACCATTTGCTGATTGCCATGGCACTTTGAGGGTTTGGGTTGGGTTTTGGGAAGACGCCTGTGCATGAATTTGTTTTATGTGTGTAGATCAGTGCACGCCGACCAACGCACAGTCTTCGCAGTAGGGCTCTGTTCTGATGGCATGAGTAGTCACGACGAACTGGTGGATCCTATCTGCTGCAGCCTTCATCCACCTTCACAGCCGTTGTAACACACCACTTGTTATCTGTGAGGAGAACCTGAGCTTACAGGGTTAAACAGCTCAGAGTGTACGTCCTGCCTACTGTGGGGTGGGGAGACTCTGCGTCACTTCCAAGAGTCTCAGTCCTTTGTTCTATTCTGCTTTCGTTTTCATGTGAAGCAGACGTGTTTTTCACGATGCTGCATGCTGTGTTAGACAATGGTTAGTTTTGCTGTAATAAACTGCTCTTAGTTTCTTAGTATCTCTGTGTGAGACTCTATTTGGGCACACCGAAGCACAGAAGCTGATTTCTCTGAACGCTGCTAACTCTGCTATTTTGCTCAGAGCATCAGAATGTGGACTTTGGAATGCAGAGGCCTGGCGCAGCGTTTGAAGCGGGCCGGACGCCAGGCTTATCTGGGCAATAAATCTTAAGATTATCATCCACCTGTTCTGCCGTGGAGGACTTCTTGGATCATTCTTTGTCTAGCTCCTTCCCTGTTATGCACTAAGCTTGGATCCTAGAACAATAGACAAGTAGGATCCTAGAATGCAACAACTGATTGGCTTGCAGGAAAAGACCAATCAGGCTCCAGGAGGAAGTTAATCAGCCTATTAGGCTGGTAGGATCGTAGAATGCAACAACTGATTGGCTTGCAGGAAAAGACCAATCAGGCTCCAGGAGGGAAGCTGAATCAGCCAATCAGACGGGACTCATTGTAAAAATAATGTATATAAAAGCCTGAGGTTTGGGGGGAAATTCAATCACTGTTTTACAAGCTGCAATAAAGAGCATGAAATCACTACAGGACTCCAAGTATATTTCATTTTCTTTGACCTTACCGCCTTGGGTGACCCTGCTGGGAGTAAGAGATTCCCGATGGCTTCACTCACAAGGGTCATAGGAATGTGCAAGCTCACTCACAATGACAAGGTGATGATCCAGCGAGTGAAAGAACTGAGATACATTGCACTGAGCCCTGGTCTCTTCAGACAAAGCATTGCACCAAAAAGGCTCTGGCTCTTGGCTCTGGTTGAGGACAGCTGGATATGTTTTGGACCAGGGACCACCAGTAGGTTGCTGTTAGATGAGCGTCACACTCTTTGGGGGGTGTATTGGAACATAATTCCCACAGATAAAAAAGGTCACAGCTGTTTAGGGCTTTAAAGGTTAGCACCAAAACCTTGAACCTGATTCGATACTCCACCTGGAGCCAATCCAGCTGATGAACAACCAACTGAATGTGGGCTCTCCACAAAGTCCAAGTTAGAACTCATGCATCTGCATTTTAGACCATTTGGAGTTTCTGGAGCATTCTCAAGGGTAGCCCTGCGTATCTATCTATCTATCTATCTATCTATCTATCTATCTATCTATCATCTATCTATCTATCTATCGCATTTATACCCTCCATAGAGACAGAAGCGTCCAGAATCACACCGGGACTCCTGATGGCAGCTACAGGTGACTATTGTGCCCCATGAAGAGCTGGGAGCTGGCAAACCGAACCAAAATCATTCCGGCCCAGCCGTTGGACCCCCATTTTTAATGGATTGAGAATCAGCTGACTCCATTTCCTCCATCTCAGCACACCCACCTAAAAATGGGCCAATATATCCAGGGTAGCATCTGGCCAGGGCCACAAAGCAGTATATCCATGATGTTTGTGGTCAGATCTGTGGTTATGTACAAGATATTTGAATAAAGGGTGAATTCGGGGTTCCCCAATACAAAAAGCGTGAGGATCCATGAGGATCCGTGCTTCAGAACCATGTTTTTGGGCCACGGTATGGCCAGGAAGCCGTGGATCCTAGTTTTTTGTGGTGTAGGCTGTGCCCCTGGCTATGACGTGTGATTTGACTGTGAGTTTGGGGTGGCCCAATGCAAAAAGTGTGAGGATCCATGCTTCAAAACCACGTTTTTGGGCCATGGAGTTACCAGAAAGCCATGGATCCGAGTTTTTTGTGGTGCAGGCTGTGCCCCTGGCTATGATGTGTGATTTGACAGTGAGTTTGGGGTGGCCCAATGCATAAAGCGCGAGGATCCATGCCTCGGATCCGTGTTTTTTAACCATGTTTTTGTGCCTTTGCGGCCCCACGAAACAATGGATGTGTGGGTTTTTTGGTTCTGCCTACAGACTAAGATGTGGTCTAGAGTATCATGGTGTTTTTATTTTGTTACAGTATAAAAATCATATGAATTCATGAGGATCCATGCCTTGCATCCATGTTTTTGAGGTGCTGCAGTGTTGGATCCACGTTTTTTATAGTCCAGTCTGTAGGCGTGCCTTCCATGTGTGATTTGACACTGGATTTGTTGGAGTTATTTTTTTTAAAGTGGAGGATCCATGAGGATCTGTGTAGATCCGCCTTTAACCCAGACCCGCATCTGCCTGTCTTGAGAGACAATTGTTAGATATAAAAACACTGATCCCAACTGTAGCCTTGAAATAAATTCTAAGCAAAATGGATTTTATTTGAGTGATCACAAAAACATACTTGTAAGATGGGTGACCAAAGCAGGCACACCCAAAAATCATTGCAGAAGAAGCTTTTATGCTATCTCTGAGCACAAAATTCCCTCCCCTGTCCAGGGGTCACAACCTATCACGTCCGCCTAGTACAATATTAAACTCCCCGCCCCTGTTCCTCTTCTCCCATTCCTCTGAATCTGGCGACCATCTCTCATATTTATGATTTTCCTTATTATTTGGCATTATGTTTTCACCCCTCTACATGCTGTTTTTAGCAATAAAGCCATCATCTCTATTTTACTGAAGCATATATTTGTTGTCTTTGCTGTTCTTAACTGCAATTTCTGCAAAAGCATATAACACCTATTATTTTGCTAGCATATTTAACTACAATTTGTTCCACAAGCTATATTAGAACATCCCCAGATAAAAATCTCCTAACCATTATAACCTTATGGCCTTATGACTTTTATTAAAAAAAAATTAATAAGAACAATATTTGTTCTAAAAAGGCAATAAAAAAGCAATATAAATTATTTCTCTCACAATGGAGTGAAACTGAACCTCTGGTTACCCACACCAATTTGACAAGCCTGGGCCGTGTGTCTGGAGGTCCTGGGCTGCCCAGACAAGACCCCCCTCTCAGCCTTACTGATGTGATCCAAAGGAAAGCGGAGCAAGACGTTGGGCACCAGCTGGGCTGCAGGATTTGACAGAAGGATGCAGACAAGGCGCCACCTTAGGGTGTCCACTCTGGATTTGTGTAGGGTTCACTCCTGAGCCTTTTCTTCTCCTGAACAAATACAGTGGTACCTCGGGTTACATACGCTCCAGGTTACAGACTCCGCTAACCCAGAAATAGTGCTTCAGGTTAAGAACTTTGCTTCAGGATGAGAACAGAAATCGTGCAGCAGCGGCACAGCGGCAGCAGGAGGCCCCATTAACTAAAGTGGTGCTTCAGGTTAAGAACAGTTTCAGGTTAAGTACGGACCTCCGGAACGAATGAAGTACTTAACCTGAGGTACCACTGTACTTACTGCAAGGCAGCGGAGGTTTAGGACCAGAGTTTTCTTTCGCCTAGGTTGGCTCCCTGGCCATGTGGATGATTTTCAGAGAGACTTCTTGACAGAGCATGCAGCTCTCTCCTGGAGATGTTCTTGCTGTGGAATTCAACTCCAGTCCTCAGCTCTTTCTATCCAAACCTCAAGCCGTAGGATGTGGAGAGAAATGGTCCTGGAAATAGTTTATTATGTGTGTCTATCATTGTTTCTGTTTTTTCGTCCAGTCGCTTTGTACTGCTTCATAAGAAGAGATTTGTAAATGAAGCAAGAAGTGGTGTTCTGCCTGCTCTGATCTTGGGAAATATTTTACTATAGTTCTGTAGCAAGAAAGAATGAGTGCCAGTTTTCTTTCCCCTGCCTTCCTCCATTGCAACCCCTTTTCCTTTTGTGGACCATCTTATCACTGGTACTTATAGAATCATAGAGTTGGAAGGGACCCACGGGTCATCTAGCCCAACTCCCTGCAATGAGGAATCTCAACTAGTTCAGTCATAACAGATGGCCATCCAACCTCTGCTTAATAACCTCCAAGGAAGGAGAGGCCACCACCTTCCTAGGTAGTCCATTTTCCACTCTCGAACAGCTCTTTCTGTCAGAAAGTTCTTCCTGATGTTTGGTTGGAATCTCCTTTCTGGTAACTTGAAGTCATGGGTTCGAGTCGTACTCTCCAGAGCAAGAGAAAACAAGCTTGTTCCCTCTTCCATGTGACAGCCCTCGAGATATTGGAAGATGGCTCTCCTGTCTGCTCTCAGTTTCTCCAGGCTAAACAAACCCAGCTCCCTCAACCGTTCCTCATAAGACTTTGTTTCCAGACTCCAGAATAGAGCTTGATCTTGTAAGCCACTGGTATTAGTAGCAATAAAGGTAACACTAACCACAATAAGAAAGATATTAGGCATTGTTAACAATTGTTTTTAAGAACATTGTTTACACATTTTTATACTGCTTAACTATGTGTGCAATACAATCATGTATTCATTGCTGTGAGTAGTAATTTTAAGTGCATTGTTAATATAAGAATAAATGTGCAATACTGTTAAAATACATTGCTTCTCAATATTCTCTGGTTGGCCTCTGTTCTTTTCTCCGACCGATGGAGAACCTACAAAGGACTCTAGAAGGGCTCTTGTGTTCCCCATAAGGGAATAAGGGCAGATTTTTGTTTATTACACTGGCCTGACCATTTGCTACACGACTACTACTACTTCTATTATCTCCAATAAGTCAGCAGCCTGTGCACCAAAGCATTAAAGGAAGGGCTGCAAGAAGAAGCACAACTGTTAAATATAGGAAGCGCAGCAATTTTGTCCTAAAGCTACAGAGCCTGACTTATTTATGGTGCTCTCTCTCACCATTTTGCTGGTGTTGGTTCCATCCCTTGAGTAACGGATCAAGTATTTGAGGGGGGAATATTCTGGGAATTTCCAGGAGCTGGGGGGCTTCCACACCAAAAGTATCTTCTTCCTCTGGCCCAGGATCTGGGAAACGGTCAAGTTTTCTGGAGGGTCAGGCTTGACTAAGAAAAAGCCAGTGCCGAGAAAATAATACAAAACAAGCAAGCAAGTGGAGAGATGGAAGAAGCATGCATGGCCTATGGTGCCACCTTCACACTAGGCACTAAATAGTTATGGCTCCCAAAGAATCCTGGGAGCTGTAGTTTGTTAAGGGTGCTGAGGATTGTTAGGAGACCCCACTAGTCCCCTCATGGAACTACAGTTTCCAGAGAGGTTTAACAATCCTTCCCAAGGAACTCTGGGAATTGTAGCTCTGTGAGGGGGATAGAGCCCTCCTAACAACTCTCAGCACCCTTTACAAACTACATTAACCAGGATTCTGTGGGGGAAGCCATGCTTGTATAAATGTGTGGTGTTAATGTGGACAACATTCAGAGTCAATCCTGCCAGCCCTGTAAAAGCCACTCTGAATAACACAATGTGCCCTCAGAACTCTGAACCTACAAACCTGTTTCTGTCACCCTTGTGGTTGAAAACCTTTTAAATCCCCCAGTGATGGACAAAATGGAAAGTTCCCTATCTCTGCACTGTACAGACCTTTGCCCCAACGAAGCAGTGGAAGACTCTTGCTCATCTGCCTACACCAGAGGGCAGGAGACCCTTCTTTGTGCTAGCTAGTGTGGCCAGGTATTGGCTAGTGACTCATCAGCCCCAGCCATCGTGACCAATGGTCAGCGATGATGGAAGTTGTAGTCCAGCAATGTCTAAAGAGCAACAGCATGTTACTGCCGTCAGCATGAATCCTGTTTCCTTCCGTTAGAAAAGTTGAGGGAAATTGTGTGTGTCATGACTCTGTGAAAACCTACGGATCTCATTCTGGAAGAAGTAGTAGTGGGTCGTCGCTGTCCCCAGGGGGTTCACCACTGTTACATTCAGCACATATGGATTGATGCAGAACATCTGGACATTGTCGATGGAGCAGCTGTTGGCCACTGTGGTAGCTTGGACACACTCCTTTACTTCTCCTCCCATGCCAAGCCTGGGTTGCAAAGAAGTCAAAGATTAGCATGGGCTGCCCAGGCCACCTACTGACAAGAGCAAGCCAGCAACAAATCACCCCAATCGAGCTGGAGTTAACTCTATATTACCAAAACAGGAGCTGCACAGGAGTGTCAGGCCTCATGAACACAGCAATTCTTGCCCTATGGATCGGTTGCTGAGACTAAAGGTCCCTGACTCCCCACAACTGCCTAAGTCTCCTCCTCTCCAGGGTTTCGCCCATGCAATCTGAGACTGCGCTTGCGTGAAGCTCACTTCTCCTCCACCCTCTTCATGCCTCTCCTGGTTCTGGGAGACCAGCGGGGAGGGGAGCTTCTCGCAGCAGGACAGAGAGACACCCATGACTCTTCACCAGCTGGACTCATCTCTGCCTCTTGGCCACCCTCCTCTCCAGCTTCCTCTTCTGCCTCTGATTCTGGACTTCTCTCTGCCACAGACTCTCCCTGCTCACTAAAACCTGTTACCTCCTCAGCTTCTGACACCTTTCCCCAGTCTGCTCCCTCTTCTCCCTCTGACCACTCATTGTCGTCCCACCTGCAGTCCCTGGGCTCTGAGCCTTCTTCCCTTGGGGGTTCCCTAGCTGGTTCTTCCCACCATTCCTCTGTGTCCAACCAGTCCATGACACCTACTAAGGAAAAAAGTTGGTTTATGAGCATCATGGGTAGCCCTGCAACCCGATCTGGTTCAGAAACTCTTCTGAAAGCTTCACTTTAATTTGATAAATGTTGCTTCCTCTGTTTCTGTGAAGAAAGGAGCCAGATTGCCACAGCTGTATCTATAATACCAATAAGAGGGGGTTTCTCCTTTTTACCTGTACACGGAGGGAAAAAAAGTAGGCAGGTGTGTCTTGGTCTCCAACCTCCAGGAGCAATTGATGGCTGGGTAGGTGGTGGACCAGCACCATACTAAAGGCTTATCAGGTGGGTCTGGAGGAAAGGGGAGGAGCAGAAAAGGTGGTTTAATTATTTATTCCATAAAATTTATGTATTGCTTGATAGTAAAAAAACTGTTAGGATATTTCCGTTCCACCTTAAAAGGGAGCAGGCTTTGTGAGTCACAGAGTCTGCGCATTTCCTGTTCACAGGAAGTTTATGTTTTCTATTGCTTTCGTTTTCTCTCTCTGTGTCGTAGACACTGAAGCAGGCAGTCATGTTTTTCTTTGTTCTGATCAACGCTGAATAAAACTTGTAAATAATGCTCTCCTGAGTGCGACTTCTGCTGTGCATTATCTGCTAACAGAGTGTGCATCGGCTCTAGAATGTGGCAGGCTATTTTCTGGAGCTCATGTTGCTAATTGCTGATACTGCGTGACTACGGGAGATGGATGGATTGTCCGGCAGCCGGCTTGGGGGCCATGATGGACTTTGTCTCCCTGGCAGTATCCCAACAACCCTCAAGGAGGTTTACAAAAAAAAGATAAATCAATAAAACTGGGGGGGGGGATCCATAAGCATACTTTAAAGCATACAAAGGTTAAAAGACCACAACAGATTCAAATCACCTTAACTTTCTAAGCATCTGGGTAGGCTTGTCTAAACAGGAATGCTTTTAGCAGGCACCAAAATAATACAGTTAAGGTGCCTTCTTGATATCAAGAGGCAGGGAGTTTCAAAGTATAGGTGCTGCCACACTAAAATATTGATTTCTTACATGTGTAGAATGGGTTTTATGTGGCACATGTAATATTGCCAATTCTAGCTGCTTCCTAGCAATCAGACCCCTCCAGCTGCCTACGGTGGCTGCTAAGGACAATGTTCTTTTTTGCTTTCTGCTCTGAGACACGCAGAGCATGTCTGGTCCTAGGGGAAGGAGGATCTGCCACTCCTCATCTGCACCACACTCTCATCTGCCCAGTCCCTGACAGTTCCCAGGATTCTGTAGGTGGAAAATTATGCATTAAATGCATGGTGTTTACCCAGTCAATGAGTCACATGACCCCATTTTGGTCATTGTGTAGCTTTATTGGAGTTCACCGATTGGGTCTGCGTTGCTCCCGGGAGGGAGGAAGGAAGTCAAATGACATCGAGGTTGATTCAAAGAAAGAGTTTATTCTGCTCTCCGGATAGCAGAAGGCACTTGCATGGTCAGTCCACAGCAAGTCCAAAGAAATGAGAAATTTCATGCAGTATATATATCCTCCAGGCACCCTCTCCCTCCTTTCCCAGGAATCCAACCACGTCAGCCTATACACGCAGGTTGACATCACATATGTTCCTGCTCCGGTATTCTTAACCATAAAAGGGTATTCCTTCCTGTACTTCTGACCATAAAAGGATCTTCCTGTTCCTACTCTTATCTTGGAGCAAGAGGTCACCATCTCCGAGAACACACTCTGGCGCTGTTCCCAGACTAGGTCTGTGCATCTTTGTGGTCAGGACGTAAGATAAGGCACAGACGTGTCTTCGCTGTTCTACTGGTACAGTCAAGGCCATCCTTGCCGTCACAAACTGATAAAGGAGAGGGCTCTGAGCACTTGTTTATACAGCTGGGTTTTGGCTCAAGAGCTCAAGTTTATGCATTTTAGAAATGCTAAGAAGAAAAGGGGGGGTTTTGAGTCAGTTTTAAACTGACTGAACAGAAACCCATTCCTTCATTCCCTCCTCTTCTTTTGGACAGCCTTACGGCTCGTCCCAAGGCACTGGCCGGTATTCTCGTGTCAGTGCTATAATCTGGGGCCAAATCATACGTGACATCATTTTACGCATCATATTTTGCAAGCATTGCATATTTTGCAAGCATTGCATTAAGCAGGGTATACAGGAGCAGAAAAGAAGCAAGATTAGCAAGGGGCCTATTAACATCATTAAAAGTCCTCTAAGCCACCCAAGGTTCGGAAGCCACTCAGTCAACCAAGACATGTCCCATCCGTTCCAGGTTGGGACAGGAACATGGGCCACTTTTTCTATTTCTGCTGCCAGGTGTTGAATAGCTTCACCATGGTCAGAGATGTTAAAGCAACAGGCTCCTCCCGTCAATTTTTAACGGGGCACAAAATCCGGCTGAACCCAAAATCGGGGCCGTAACTGAGGACTCATTCCAAGGCACAGGGAGGAGGGGTATTCCTCTCAAAGCATCTGTAGGTCCCAGAGTGCAGACTGTGCAATTGGTTTGGTTTGCAGAATAGGCTACCATTTCTGCCATTTGCAGCCACTTTACTATCTCTCCACTTTACTATCTGGTGGGGAGGCAGTTACATTTGAGAAATTCCATGAAAATGTCAACCAACAAACACATTTTTCATTTTCATATTCAGTTAAGATGTTCTACATCACTTCCAGTATAATTGTTGATCACCAACACCACAAAGACAAAACTCTGCTGCACCAAATTCAGATACCTAGGGGTACAAATAACCAGAAACCTCAACAAACTATACCTCCACAATTACAACCCCCTGTGGCAACAAATTAACATAGACCTGAGGAAGTGGAACACAAACTTCACCCTCTTGAACAAAATAGCCATGATAAAAATGATTACCCTCCCCAAATTAACCTAAAACTACATTCATTTACTTTCTCACACAAAAAGCCGAGAATAAGCCCCAAATACCTGCACGCCCCCCAGAAGGAGGATGAGGAATTCCCAACATAGAACTAATCCCATGCAACCTAGAAGATGAGTTAAATCAATGGGTATAATTGGAAATGCACACAATTGAAAAAACCCCCACCACAGCATGCCTATTCCTCCAAAACAAACTAAGGAAAATTCCCACAATGCTAAACAGGTTCACACAGGAAGGGAAAAGTAGTCAAACTGTCCCCAACCCCAGTTAACCCCCTGACTCATCACCCACTATTCCATCATGCAGCCCAATGCTTCCAAATAAAAACTTGGCAAACCAAAGGCCTATCCCGCCTAACATTCTACAAAAATAACAAACCCATATGGACACAAGAAATACAAGACAAACTAGGGGACACTCAAATACCTTGGCTAACATACCACACCTTCTTAAACAATCCAGCAGTAAAATCAGTAGCCACTAGGCCTGTGATGGCCTGGGAATCTGATTCAGAGGCTGAACCAGAGGAATCCCAGCCTGCACAGGAGTCCCCGCCTACAGGGCCGGCTGAGCCGGGGCAGGGCCTTGAATCTGAAGCACCTGCACCTGTGCCGGATCCTCAGGAGCAGACACTAGATGAATCCACTCTGGCTCCGGAGGTGATTGAGGACCCATTGCCTACAGGTGCGCCTCTCCCAGCCCTGTCAGGGGAAGGTGAGCCTCCCCCTGGGTCCAGTAACCCTCCAGCCTCTCCTGAGCTGCAGAGGCTCAGGGCAGAGGGAACTGGGTTCTCTCAGGAGGAGTGCTCGCCTTAAGGCCAGGAGAGGCGGGTCACCTGAGGGCCGGGACCGCCCCTGGCCTCAGAGAAGATAAAGGCCAGTCAGCCCAGTCCCAGGTTGCGGGAGCAACGTCGTTGGAAACCTGTTTCTGCCAGCACCCAGACCTGTTCTTCCGGAGTTCCTGACCACGCCCGGCTTCCTGCTTTGGACCCCGCTTTGCCCTTGGTGGACAGTCTCCAGACCCTCGACCAGGACCGGACTCTGACCACGCCTCTCGGTAACCCCGCCCTCGGGTCCAGCACAGTTTGCTCCCGCCACACCCGCACTCCCCCTTCATTGGGGTGTGTTCGGGAAGAGCCAGAAGCCATGTCTGACCAGGCAGCTGCGTTGGTGGCATTGGCCCAGGAGAACCAGGCCTTGACTCACACCGTTCAGCAGCTAAGCAATGTGGTTATGGCGCTTTAGCAGCGGTTGGACGCCTTACCGGCTCCTGGGGCCGACGCCCCAGCTTCTGGCAAGTACCCAGTGGCCCTGCCAGAGAAATTTGATGGGTCCCCGGCCAGCTTTCCCATGTTCCTCACCCAGGCCAAGCTGTATATTCAGGGGCGAGCCCAGAATTTTCCTGACAATCGCACCAAAGTGCACTTCTTGATCAGCTTGCTGAAGGACCAGGCGGCCGAGTGGGCTTTGCCATTGCTCCGGCAAGACTCTCCTTTGCTGACAGACTATGTGGGGTTTTGTAACCACTTGGAGACTGCGTTTGGCAACCCTCTGAAGGGGAGCCAAGCCAATCGGGCGATTTGTCGGTTGAGACAGGACAAGTCCACAGCCGCCGCCTACGCCACAGAATTTCGGCTGTTGGCGCAGGACTTGTCTTGGAATGACTCAGCACTTCGGGACCAGTATCTCGAGGGACTATCGGATGAGATACTGGACCAGCTGGCCACGATGGATCATCCCACGACGCTGGACGCCCTCATTCAGCGGAGCCTGCAGATAGACGATCGGTTGGAGGACCGTCGCCAGGCCCGGGACCACCAGCACTCCCGGCTTCTGGCTCAAGTCCTTACTAGCAGGTCCACAGCCACAGCCGAGTTGCCGGACGAGCCAACGCAGCTCGGGGCAGCGCGACCTCGCCTCTCCCCCTCGGAGAAGACAGGAGGGGAACCTGTGTCTTTACTGCGGTGGGAGTGGACATCACGCCCGATCCTGTCCCGAGAATATGGGGGCCGCAGGGAAACCGCCAACCCCCGTAGTCGAAGGCCCTGGGTACCCGGGGTCCCAAACCATGCAAGAGGGGCCCTCACTGGTGGAATTACAACACCTCATGGTCCCGGTGCGCCTATACCCCCCTGGTGGGCCCTGGATCCTCACCCATGCTCTGGTGGATTCAGGGGCAACCCGCTCGTATATGGACTCTGCCTTTGCCGCCCATCATCAGGTGCCACTCCAGGATAAGTCGGAACCGGTACAGGTGGAGGCCATCGACAGGCGGCTCCTGCGCTCGGGCGCCGTTACTCAGGAGACACAGCCCTTGGTTCTGTGTCACCAGCAGTACCGGGAGGTGCGAACTCTGGACATTGCTACCATGCCCCGGTTTCCCCTGGTGCTCGGGATGGACTGGATGGAATCTCACAATGTTCAGATTGACTGGGTCAATCGGACTGTGCACTTCCCAGACCCATGTCCCCATGCTCGGTCTGAGATGCTAGCAGCCGCGCCCACTGAGGAGGCTGCATCAACGCTCCCCGCTGAGTACCGGGACTACCAAGACGTGTTCGAGAAACGGGGGGGCAGATCAGCTGCCGCCGCATCGGTCTTTTGACTGCGGCATAGACCTCCACCCTGGAGCGCCCCTGCCAGTGAGTCGCTTATACTCTCTTACAGAGCCAGAGCGCGAAGCTTTGCAGGACTTCCTGCGCAAGAACCTGGAGCGTGATTTCATTCGGCCTTTTACCTCGCCCACCGCTGCGCCAGTGCTCTTTGTTAAGAAGAAATGTGGGGAGCTTTGCCTTTGCCATGATTACCGGGTCCTGAACAAAATCTGGAAGAATGGCAGATGAAGGTGATGGACTATATGGAACTGGCGGAAATGACTGGCAGAATCCGAGACCAGGGAGAAGAGTCGGTGGAAGAAGATTGGAAGAAATTTAAAGACTATTTACAGAAATATTGTAAAATTAATGAATGTTAGAATGATGCTGGATAGAAATTAAGTGGTTTTCAGCTGTAATACTATAAGGGGATATGAAAAATGGATCATTAATAGGTAAAAAATTAACGTTACAATGTTTTAAGATTAAAGACTAGGATAAACAAAGAGGGTAAGGATTTGCTGAACCAACAAACTGAACTGGAATACAAAAAAGGGAGGCATGAGGAGGTCCGGGAAACAAGCTAATGAAAAATAAGTAATGGAAAGATTGAGTTGTTTTTAACTATTTTTATTTTGTATTTTTTCTTTTTTTCTTTTTCATTTTGTAATATTGTGAAAACCTTAATAAATATCTTTTTTTTAAAAAACAAAACAAAATCACCATCCCAGACCAGTACCCCTTGCCACTTATTTCGGAGTTGCTGGAGCGGGTGCAAGGGGCGCAGGTGTTCACCAAGCTAGACCTCCGGGGGGCCTACAATTTAATTCGGATCCGAGCCGGGGATGAGTGGAAGACAGCATTCGGGACCCGGTATGGGCAGTTTGAATACCTGGTTATGCCCTTCGGATTGTGCAACGCACCCGCTGTGGTCCAACGGTACATCAACCACGTGTTCCAGGACTTGCTGGACAAGTACGTGGTGGTGTACTTGGATGACATTCTGGTTTTCTCCCGTGACCCGGCTCGCCACGAGGGTCATGTCCGGACCGTGCTGCAGCGCTTGCGGGAGCACCGCTTGTATGCGAAGCTCAGCAAGTGCGAGTTCCATCAGCGGTCAGTGGACTTCCTTGGTCACCGACTCTCTCCAGATGGGGTGCAGATGGATCCTGGGAAGGTGGCAGCGGTTCGGGAATGGGCGGTACCTCGGAACCGCAAGGACCTACAGCAATTCCTGGGGTTCGCCAGCTATTACCGGACCTTCATTGCAGATTACGCTCATCGCACCACCCCGTTGACCCGGCTACTGCACCCCAAGACGCCGTTTTCCTGGGACAAGGAGGCAGAGGAGGCGTTTCAGGGGTTGAAACCTGTTTCCAGAGAGCGCTGATCTTGCAACATCCTGATCCCTCTCGACCTTTTGTGGTAGAGACTGACGCCTCCAGCACAGCTCTCGGTGCCGTCTTGTCCCAGCAGCACGGACCTGATGCGCCACTGTTACCCTGCGCCTCCTATTCCCGCCAGCTCCTTCCGGCGGAGCGTAACTATACCGTGTGGGAGCAGGAACTACTGGCCATCAAGGTGGCCTTTCAGGTCTGGCGCCGCCATCTTTTTTTTTTTGCAATAATTTTTATTAAGTTTCCATTTGCCAGATTAAACATAACATACCAATTAGTCCAAATTATATCAGTACACCTCATAAAGTCCAAATGTATCCCAGATTAAAACTTTTTTGTGGGGGGTACCCATGCTTCTCGATCGTCAGGAATCCAAACATCCAAATTCGTGCTGCTTTCCTATTTGCAATGATGTTTCCAGTCCCATCTTCTCATCTTTGTCATTACTCGTTTTCCTTTTCAGTCACCTCCGAGTTTCCTCACAAGTGGATTGAAAGGAACAGTCTTATTTTGTCTCTGTGTGGGCTGTGTAATGCTCTCTCGTATATCTCTCACAAAAATCCAACAATCTAAGTTTTCGCTCGAGCAGACGCGCCATCTTGTCCTTCCGATGAAATACGATCTAAATGTCCGCTCATTTACTTTCTAGACCCGCTGCCTCATAATTAGTCTTCCAGGAGGATAACAGCCCTTGATTTACGATTCCAGCCTGATATCCAAGCGGCTCTTCCTCCCTAGACCATCCATCTTGCAGCCGAGGTCTGCCTGCGCATCGAAACATTTCTTGCTGTGTCACCGAGAGAGGCTCACTTCTTTCCAAATCTTTCACAAACATATTATTTTCCCCACACAGTTCATTTTCTCTCCCACTTGCAGTTGGTCGTCGAGACGGTTTTTAAGGGGGAGGGTTATTAGGTACTCATTTAAAAATAAAATAAAAAAGTCTGCCCCCCCTTCATACCATTCCACATACCAACATGTCGGCAGTTCTGTCATGTTATCTCTGTTCCTTCCATCCTTCCGTCCCGATCTTCTGCTCTCAGTGGTGACATTATTAGCAGATAAGAGCATTCCTGACTTCTCTTGAAGCATGTGCGTTTATTTATCCAATTCTTTTCTTCTTTTTAAACATCGCAGCCAGGCTCGCTCCTGAAAGTAGCTGGCAGGGAGCTCTGAACTTGCACAAGGGCTTTCCGCCTAGTGCCTCTCACCCCCTCCTTCATCCGAACTCGGGGGTGATTTATGGCAACAGCAGGAGAGGCAGCGTCTTTTCAATTCCCTGAAAAGACGAGGGAGACTGATTTACTCCCCATAATCAGCCTCTAATTACCTCGTGTAAGCTGGACAAGATGTTATTAGTAGCCATCTTTCAAGGCGCCCCTAGCGGGCCCCCCCTAGCGCCACCATCTTGAGGGGGCACGACACCTGGTGGACACCATCGGAACCTGGAGTACCTTCAGACCACCCGCAAGCTGAACCAAAGGCAGATCCGGTGGGCGCTGTTCTTCTCCCGGTTCCAGTTCCGGATCCGCTACATCCCTAGCTCCCAAAACCAGAAGGCGGATGCCCTGTCCTGGAAACCCGAAGACATCGCAGACACGGTACAGCAAGCAGTACCAACCACGATCCTACTGTTGGTTTACAAGCCCCCTTTAGAGAGGCTGGCCCCTCTCACTGTCCTCGGAGCTTGTTAACCGGTAACCTCCTCTGGCTGACATCCCGGACAGACCAGGGAGATTTTGATAGGCGACATTTTCCCAGCGTGGGTAAATGCACACCCCCCTCCTGCTTCCCTAGCAGGGAAAGGAGACAGTCAGAAATGCCTATTTACATTCTTTTATTTCTGACTTTACAGCACTACAGAAAAACATGTCCGATCAATTCAGTTCTTCTAGCAAGTCTTGTACATACACAAATGGAAGGTTTCAAATCACACTCTTCACAGAGCTCTGAGAAGCCTGTGAACTTCCGGGAATCTTCTTTCCCACAGCTAGCCACATCATGTGATGTCAACAAGCTGGCTGTCTACAGCTGTGATGTTCTCATATACTGACACCTACCACCGGCTGCGTTCCTGGCCACTCAGGAGGCTGAGCCACTGCAAGCTCGGGTGCGGGAACAGCAGCGGGTCGACGCTTGGGCTCAAGAACGACTCCGGGAACTGGCCAAAGGGTCATGCCCTCAGTATCCGGGGCTGGTCTTGCACCAGGACCTACTGCTGCACCACGGTCGCCTGTACATCCTGCCAGGGCCACTGCGGGCTGAGGTCCTCTGGATGACCCACGATGCCCCAGCGGCAGGACACTTCGGGCGGTATCGGACGACCCATCTGGTAAGCCGCGAGTTTTGGTGGCCCTGCCTGAAGGCTGACGTGGCTCGCTACGTCGCTGGTTGTGATGTCTGCCGGCGGGCCAAGGGCCCTGCCGGGTGACCCCCCGGCCTAATTCAGCCGTTGCCAGTCCCACCACGTCCTTGGCACACGGTTTCGCTGGACTTTGTGGTGGACTTACCCCCGTCTCATGGCTGTACCTGCCTCCTGGTTTTCTCCGACCATTTCACTAAGATGGTGCCCTGTGCCCCCTGCCCATCCGTACCCACAGCTAAGGAAACCGCTCAGCTATACCTTCAGCATGTCTTCCGCCTGCATGGCCTACCTGAGCCTGTGGTGTCCGACCAGGGCGTTCAGTTCACATCCCGTTTCTGTCTATCGTCAGCCTACCCCCCACAGACCGATGGACAGACCGAACGGGCAAACGTAGTGCTGGAGCAGTACCTCCGGTGTTACTGCAGCTACCAGTAGGATGACTGGGTCAACCACCTACCGTTGGTGGAGTTCACTTACAACAACGCGGTGAATGCGTCCACCCAGCAGACCCCGTTCCAGGCCAGTTACGGTTACCATCCGCGGTTGTTCCCGGATGTGCTGCCGGCATCCGCAGTCTCTGCGGTGACAGAGTGGCTTCAGGAGCTCCAGTCTCAGCAACAACTATTGATGGAGCGACTGCGCCAGGCCAAGGAGGCATACAAGGCCCAGGCCGACCGCCACCGCCATGTGGGGCCGGAACTCCACATCGGTGACCTGGTATGGCTCTCCACTCGTCACCTCCAACCCTCTCGGCCTTCGCGGAAGCTGGACGCCCGCTTCACCGGCCCGTTTCCCATTGTGGACCAGGTCTCGCCTGTGGCATTCCGTCTCCGGTTGCCCGCAACCCTGAAGGTTCACCCGGTATTCCACAGGTCCCTTCTGAGTCCGGTGGTCCCGCCCGACGAGTTCCACCTGAACCGTCCCCGACCACAGCCAGTTTTGGTTCAGGGGGAGCCCGAGTACGAGGTGGAACGCATTCTGGACTCCCGATACCGCAGGGGAAAGCTGCAGTATCTCATAGACTGGAAGGGGTATGGACCTGAGGACCGTTCCTGGGAACCAGCAGCCAATGTCCACGCGCCTGCCTGCCTCCGTGATTTCCATGCGGCGTACCCCAGCAAGTCGGGTCCAGACCCTTGGTTGAGGGGGGGGGCTGGGAGGGTGTCTTGGCCTGGGAGTCTGATTCAGAGGCTGGACCAGAGGAATCCCAGCCTGCACAGGAGTCCCCGCCTACAGGGCCGGCTGAGCCGGGGCAGGGCCTTGAATCTGAAGCGCCTGCACCTGTGCCGGATCCTCAGGAGCAGACACCAGATGAATCCACTCTGGCTCCGGAGGTGATTGAGGACCCATTGCCTACAGGTGCGCCTCTCCCAGTCCTGTCAGGGGAAGGTGAGCCTCCCCTTGGGTCCAGTAACCCTCCAGCCTCTCCTGAGCTGCAGAGGCTCAGGGCAGAGAGGCGGAGGGAACTGGGTTCTCTCAGGAGGAGTGCTCACCTTAAGGCCAGGAGAGGCGGGTCACCTGTGGGCCGGGACCGCCCCTGGCCTCAGAGAAGATAAAGGCCAGTCAGCCCGGTCCCAGGTTGCGGGAGCAACGTCGTTGGAAACCTGTTTCTGCCAGCACCCAGACCTGTTCTTCCGGAGTTCCTGACCACGCCCGGCTTCCTGCTTTGGACCCCGCTTCGCCCTTGGTGGACAGTCTCCAGACCCTCGACCCAGGACCGAACTCTGACCACGCCTCTCGGTAACCTCCCCCCGGGTCCAGCACAGTCTAGCCCACATTTCACTAGCTTTTTTTGCAATAATATCATGGGGGACCTTTTCAAAGGCCTTACTGAAGTCAAGGTAAGCTGGTACAAGGGAAAGCAGGATTGTAATTACCGTAAAAATTACTGATCACTTTGTATCAGCAATCTCAACCTAACCTGCTACATGGGGAGAGCCACGTGTTCCTTTGGAAGCAGTGGACTCTAATCTGGTGAGTCGGGTTCGCTTCCCCGCTCCTCCACATGCAGTCTGCTGGGTGACCTTGGGCCAGTCACACTTCCCTCTGAACTCTCTCAGCCCCACCTACCTCACAAGGTGTCTGTTGTGGGGGTGGAAGGGAAAGGAGATTTTTAGCCACTTTGAGACTCCTTAAAGTAGAGAAAAGCAGGATATAAAAGCCAACTCCATGAATAAGAATTCTATGGAAAAGGACCATCCCTGCCATGATGATGAAAACTATGTCTGGATTTTGCTGTATTATACCAACCTGTGGAATATGACAGTTCGCAGTTTCAAAATCTATTTGGCCACAGTGGGTTGACAATCTGGACACACGGAAACCTCTGGAAGATCTTTTGAATCAATGCCTATGTGAAAGCAGTGGTACCAGTCCTTGCAGTTTCCTTCACAGTAAACCATAGTTAGGTCATCACTGGGCCTCCTGCACCCTTCCTTCAAAAAACATAGTGACCAGCAGCCTTCAAATAAGGAAGGTAAAATATCTGAGCAATAGGTTAGTGTATCCTTCCATCCCTCTGGGCATGATCTAGACACAGTAATGTGACTCTTTCAAGATTTGTCTCTTCTTGGGAGGAACAGCATCAATTTCCACTTGAAAATATTTGTCTTGTCCTTCAAGATAGGTTTTCCCACAGTACTGTATTATTTCTTTTGCAATCCAGGGTCTTATGGCAGCCATATTCTTTTGTATGAACTGTAATTGGGCAGCAGAAGCAATCAGATGGGCAATGGTACATGTGAAAGGACCATAGTCACTGGAATTACCTTGCCTGGGTATATCAGTTGGTGCAAAACATGACCAGTCTGCAAAACTATAGGGATATTTTGAATCCATCTCATATAGACATGTTAAGAAGGATGTTATTGCATCAATCACAGAGTGGTTCAATCCATGTTTGGAATCTAGGTAGAGCATGGTCTTCCTTTTAAAAATGATTACTATCAGTATCCAGTGGACTTCTCTGTCATTTACTGGAATAATCAAAACATCTTTCTTTAGCACTCCAAATCTCAAACAGTTCTTAAGGGCTTGCACTGGCAGTCTTTGACATATCTGCATGAAGTGGCAACTAAGTGGGAAAATTGTTCCATCGTGACCTAGCTCTTTGGCCATGATCACCCTGGAGGCAAGAAATGTATCTATTATGCGGTCATTTATCCAGTTTGATCCTTTCAGTGTGTTTATGTCATAGTCATACACACAGATGTTGGCAACTGAACCCACAAGTCCCATGGTTTGTAGACTGAGTATGGGGAAGGTACAGTTGTGCCATGGGGGAACTGATGTACAAATCAGTGATTTGTCCAAACACTTCTCACTTTGTGTTGAGAATATGGGGCTGCTATCAAAAGAATCAATATTGGTCACTGTCAAATCCTCTTTCCCACTTTTTGGAGTGGAGGTCATCTGAGGTTGAGTGCTTTCCAGGTGTCTCATAGTCAGTTGGTGATCTTAATGAGTCCAACCCCTCAGCAGCTTGCACTGAATCAGATGCTGGAGCTACTGTTATCTTTTCCTGCAGTCTGGGGAACTTTCTTCCCAATCTACTCTTCTGTCTTTTATTTCGCTTCAGCTGTGTGAGCTGCAACTGGCGAGGCTTCCCTGGTCCTGGTGGCATGCCGATAGATTTTGTGGTAGCTATAATATGGTATTTTTTAAATTTATTTTTTGACAATAATATTTATTAATTTTCAATAGACATAACAAAAAAGAAAATATGCAACAACACAATAGAGAAGTGAAAAAGACGAAAAAAGAATAACAAACTTAAAATACCTAAACAGAAAAAAGAAACTCAATTAATTAATTAAAATCCATTTTCATAAACATTTTAGTTGACTTCCTCTAATCTCCTCCATCTGAATTTCCTCTTAATATGAATGTAGCAGTTTCCAATATCATTATTTCATAAAACAATGTTACAGTCGTATTCCAATTTCTTTAACTTTCTTATAGTACATTTTCTTATTTATATATTTAAGTCTAATTTAATCCTAGGCCTGATTGGTTCTTTCAAGTGGTGACATTTCTTGGTAGTCCTCTTCTTTCTGGTTGCGGATTCTCCCAGTGAGATCAGTCATCTCCATAAATTCCATCATCTTCATCTGCCATTCTTCTACCGTTGGTAATTCTTGTGTTTTCCATTTTCTGGCTAGTAAAATCCTAGCAGCTGTTGTGGCATACAAAAATACTTTCACGTCTTTTTTGGGCTGTTCAGTACCTACTATCCCAAGGATGCAGCTATAATATGGTAACAAGTCCTGGATGATGGGCGCGCACACAATGTCCTGTATGGACTGTGCATGCATGGCAGACTGTATGGATGCCACCTGTGCGGCAGCCCGTACAGCCGCCGTGAGAGCAGCTGCCCGTACGGCCCATACGGTCGCTGCGAGAGGGGCTGCTTGTACAGTTGCCGCAAGAGCGGCAGCCAGTACAGCGACCGTACTGTCACCCTCCACCCAGATGGGCCGGAGCTGATCAAAATCTCACATTTTTGGTTATGGGCCCAGAAATCAGAATCGGAATGCCGGCAGAGAGACGGATCGGTGTTATCTGCTCTGAGTGTCAAGAAGATTGATGAGAGGTATGTGCTCTTGCCCCGGGAAGCCTGCCAGCTCCTAATTAATGGCTTTAAGGCTGGACTTTGAAATTTTTAAGCCGTTTGCCGTGGCAGAGGCTCAGAGGCTCGGCAGAGGCTTGAAAAACGAAAGTGCTTTTGAAAGTGCTTTTGGAATGAAGCTGCTGTAAACACAGACACAGCTTAATTAAAGCAGCAGAGATGGCTAATGCAAGGCTAGCAGACGCTTTTGGGATTCCTAAGCTCAATAAAAGAATTACGCGGAATGGGTGTTATACACAGAGGCTCTTCTGAGAAAAGAGGGTCTGTTTAATGTTATTACAGACACCCCCCCCCCAGCTCCGATGACAGATGAATGGGCAGCTAAGGATTCCAAAGCAAGGGGAACTCTTACATTGCTGGTATCCCCAGAAGAGCCATGCCTATTGCGTGATAAGGCCTCAGCCAGAGAGATTTGGGACACTTTGAGAGATTCTCATTTAAGAACAGAGGCTGGTGCTTCTTTGTTCTACTATGCCAAGCTGCATGATATGGCACTTGCTGAAGGTGCAGATGTGCGTGCTCATCTGATGGAGATGCAGAATCTGAGACATGAGCTGCAACAGAGAGGACTCACCTTTCCAGAGGCTGTGTATTCCTTCATGATACTACATTCTTTGGGTTCAAGTTGGGAGTCCGTTGCCACTCAGATTGCTGTTCTGCCAACTGCTCAGCTCACGGTAGCCCATGTTACTGCTGTTGTTCTGAATGAAGCGGACAGGCGAGGTGCTAGCTGCCTCGGTAAGGGGGAGTCTTCACAGACGTCTTCCCAGAATGCAGTGGAAGCACCAGATGGCGCCAAAGCTTTGAAGGCAGTGAAATGCTACTCGTGTGGACGTCTAGGCCATATGAAGAGGGAATGCAGATATCCCAGGGCCAAGACAGAGCAGCGCAGCGAAAGCTCAACGTGTGGAAAAGGCAAAGGCAAAGGCATAGGTCCGGTGTCCAGGACAACGCAGCACAAGGCAATGGTCTCACGCTTCACTCCAAAGGTTGCAAAGGTCCAGATGACCTCTAGATCGTTCTTCGTAATTGATTCAGGAGCCACGAGACACATTTGCAACGACAAGGGACTGTTTGTGTTTTTTACACCGCAGGAAGGTGCGATTCACCAGGCGGATGACCACACGATCTCCAGTCAAGGCTACGGAACTGTTGTTCTTCACAGTTTGGACTTGTCGATACACAATGTTCTCTACGTTCCAGATGCTGCACACAATCTACTCAGCGTTGCGCAGCTGAATGAACAGAACATTGACGTTTCCTTCAAGAACAAGAAGTGCACCATCACAAAGAAAAACTATTATGTATTGCATGCTGAATATGTTGATCGTTTGTATTGTATTTTGATGATGTTGTGCAGGATGAAACTTGTTGCATTGCAGGTTCTAACAAGGTTTTGCATGCCGGATGTATTCATGATTTTCACAGGAAATTTGGTCATTTACATTTTGAGGCAGTATAAAAAATGCCTGCCTTGGTTGAAGGTATGACTATTAATAGTCATACCTTGGTTGAAGGTATGACTATTAAACCCTGCAGGTACCAACATGAAGTGTAAGGCATGCGCAGCAAACAAGGTGAAAATGGCTGCAAAAGGTAAGTTGTCTAGTAGGCAAGCTACAGAACCATACCAGGTTGTTCATGCTGATTTAGTTGGTCCTGTTGGGAATCAAGCCTTTATCAGGAGAAACTGGCCACTCTCCAGGCACCCGGCTTGATCTCCTGTTGACCTCCCTGTCTGCATTCCCCAGCAGGATACAGGCTAGGTCGCGATAGGCGATCCTTCTCAGAGTGAGAAGAACACCCCCCCCCTTTCCACTGTAATCAGTAAAATCATCATCATCATCTGAATTGTCTTCAGTGGGAAATGTATGAACAATTTCTCTCTCCTGTTCAGGAGCACTCTCTAGAAATTTTGTGAGAATCACCTGACCAGATTCAGACAAAATAACTCTGTAGAGACCCTTTTCATAACCCACAAAAATGCCTCTAGCATTCTTTGCTCCACCTGGAGCATCAGTCTTCACATGAGACCCAAAAACCTTAAAATGGGCGACAGAAGGTTTTCTGTGGAATAGCTTTTCAAAAGGAGAACTTCCTAAACCTTTTGAAACCTTTCTCAACCAAGAGTAACAATAACACAATAACGATTCCGCCCAATACTCATGTGACAAATGTGAACTCAGCAATTGTGCCTTCATGCCATTTTGCAATTCTTTGTTCACTTGCACACAGACACTTTTGTTCCATGCACCTGCTGAAACAGCAGTCTTGTGCCTTATCCCTTTCTTATCCAGGAAATCTTGAAAATCCTGCAAAAGAAAAACTGGCTTTTCATCTGTGAAAAGACAATCAATGTTAGCATCATGAACATTTTTAACTTTGTCACAAAACTCTTTAAACCTTTCTAAGGCTTCTTGTGGTTTGTGCATTATGTATATCCACACATAATGAGAGAAATAATCCACACACACAAGATAATATCTTGCATTGCCGCTAGATGGTGCTAGAGGACCAATCACATCAGCATACACTCGCTGAAAAGCTTTGGTTACTTGTGTCATCTCCTGGACGTTTTTCTTCATACCTGCAAGAGAAATCATGTTAGACTCAGATGCATTACAATTTATGCAATCACTTTGATCAAAAGTCAACAAATACAGTCCATCTTTCTCTCTGGCAGAAAAATACAGCTCTCCATCTTTGAAGATTTTGCAGCTTTCTCTATCATAGGACAAAATCAGTCCTTTCTTTGTGATCTGCGAAACACTCAGCAGATTGAACTTTAAATCAGGAACCAAATACACATTGTTAATAGTTAAGTTCAGACTCTCAAGATACACAGTTCCAAACCCGGTCGCTTCAAGCTCCTGGCCATTGGCCTGTTTCACAGTGAAGCTTTGCTTCTCAAACGTTGAAAACAGTCCTCGGCGCGACGTCATGTGTTGTGTGCATCCCGTGTCAAGAACAAAAGCGTTCTCCGTTGAAAATTCGGCTTTTGTTGACAGCAATGCTTTTGCAGGTTTCACCTGGGACTTGGTACGACTTTTGCCTGATGCCTCAGGCTTTGCAGAGCTCCCCTTAGCTCCTTTCTGTTGACGTGGCTTCTTACAATTCCGCTGAAGATGCCCAGTCTGTCCACAATTGAAACAACGGACAACGTTCAAAGCAACAGCCTGTTCTTCACTAGCAATAGCAGTGGGGGTGCTTGAACTCCGAGCTTCTCTCCCCCTGTCTTTGACATCTATTGCAGCAAGTCTGTCTCTCTCATTGAGAATCACTGAACAAATTCTCTCCGTCGTAAGATCTTGGGCAGGTAGAGAACCAAGCTGACTTGCAACCGTTTTATAAGTCTGATTAAGGCTGTTAATAATCATGAAGCAGAATATCTCTTCCTGAAGAGGGAAATTGTGTTGCACCATCTGCTGGCGTAAGAATTTCATCTCTGTCAGATGCGCTTGTACATCTCCATCAGGCGCTAGCCTTAGATTGGTCAGTTTTTCAAAATGCAGCAGCACTGAAGAACCAGCATCTCTTTGGTGTATTCTACGCAGCGTTTGCCAAATCTCACGCGCGTATTCCAAATCCTGAATATGCACGAGTTGATCATCTGAGATACACAGAATTATGGCCGTCCTGGCTCTCACATTCTGTGAATTCCAACCTGGCGTTGGTGCAGCAGGGATGGGGTTATCAATCACCCCAAAAATCCTCTGATTCTGAAGCAGGGCTTTCATCTTTACAGACCATGAGGAATAATTGTCATTAGTCAGTGGAGGTGGGT